AAGACAGAATGTGGCAGCATCGTTTCCGGGACACCTGAGATTTTGAGTGAGATTGAGAGGTTCTATGGGCAGCTGTACACGTCATCGTTGAAGCCACACGCAAGTGTGAGTAACGATCCAAGAGCGAGTCTCATCCGACACTATTCCGAAGATATCCCGGACGCCAGTCTGAGCGAGATTAGAATGGCTCTCCAGCACCTTAAAAACGGTAAGGCCCCAGGCGAGGATGGAATTACAGCGGAGCTTCTGAAAGCGGGTGGAAAACCGGTACTTGAAGTCCTTCAGAAGCTCTTTAATTCCGTCCTCCATGGTGGCATTACACCGGAGGCGTGGAGCAGAAGTGCGGTGGTCTTGTTCTTCAAGAAAGGTGACAACGCTCTCTTGAAGAACTACAGACCGATTTCCCTTCTGAGCCGCGTCTACGTGCTGTTTTCGAGAGTCATTACGAATCGTCTCGCGCGCAGACTTGACGACTTCCAGCCTCCCGAACAAGCCGGTTTCCGAAAGGGCTTTAGCACCATAGACCACATACATACCCTTCGGCAAATTGTACAGAAGTCCGAAGAGTACAATTTGCCATTATGTCTGGCGTATGTGGACTATGAGAAAGCCTATGATTCCGTCGAAATTTGGGCGGTGCTGCAGTCCCTTCAGCGGTGCCAAGTTGACTGTCGGTATATCGAAGTGTTGAAGTGCTTGTACAGTAGGGCTACGATGGCTATCCGAGTACAGAACCAGAGTACGAAACCTATCCAATTGCAGAGAGGTGTAAGACAGGGTGACGTCATATCCCCGAAACTCTTCACCGCTGCATTGGAAGACGTTTTCAAGCTTCTGGACTGGAAAGGATACGGTATCAACATCAATGGCGAGTACATCACTCACCTTCGATTTGCCGACGATATAGTCCTTTTGGCAGAATCGCTGGAGGACCTAAGCACTATGCTCAATGACCTCGATAGTGTTTCCCAACGGATAGGTCTTAAGATGAACATGGACAAAACAAAGATCATGTTCAATGTCCATGTCACACCTATGCCGGTAGTTGTTGGGAGCACTAAGCTCGAAGTTGTTGACGAGTATGTTTACCTGGGACAAATAGTCCGACTAGGTAAGTCCAACTTCGACCGAGAGGTCAATCGACGGATTCAACTCGGCTGGGCAGCGTTCGGGAAGCTACGACACATCTTCTCGTCAGACATACCTCAAAACCTGAAAACGAAATTGTACAACCAGTGCGTGTTGCCAGTGATGACTTATGGAACTGAGACGTGGTCCTTCACTGCTGGCCGTATGAGGAAGCTCAAGGTCGCTCAGCGAGCTATGGAGAGGGCTATGCTCGGAGTTTCTCTGCGTGATAAACTTAGGAATGAGGATATCCGCAGTAGAACCAGAGTAACCGACATAGCCCAACGGATTAGTAAGCTGAAGTGGCAGTGGGCCGGCCATATAGCTCGAAGAACCGACAACCGATGGGGAAGAAAGGTTCTCGAGTGGCAGCCTCGTACCGGTAGGCGAAGTGTAGGGCGTCCCCCCACGACATGGAGTGACGACCTGGTAAGACATGCAGGAAGTCGATGGATGCAGGTGGCTCAGGACCGTGCTTTGTGGCATTCTTTGGGGGAGGCCTATGTTCAGCAGTGGACTTGTGAAGGGCTGTAATGATGATGATGATGAAGTGGGATTATCTGCCGGAGCATATCGAGCCATCTCAAACTGCCTTTTGGCAGCTGACCCAAAGCAGAACAATCCTCATCTATGCCGCCTCTCATTAGACCAGGAAACCTCAATCTCGCCTTTGAAGACTCTGAAAAGGCCGAATACCTCGCGGATAGTCTAGAGAGCCAATGTATTCCCATTAGTGACCCTACAGATCACGCTCACCTTGCAGAGGTAGAAGCGGAGGTCGAGCGTAAGTCTGCACTAGCACCTGCAAGCGACACCTTAGAACCTGTGACTGTCGACGAAGTCGCAGAAGTAATTAGAAGCCTTAAAAAGAAGTCAGCACCCGGCCTTGATGGCATTAGCAACAGGGTACTGAAATCTCTCTCAGCGCCGGTCGTATGCCTTCTTGTAGGCATATTTAACGCTCTTCTTTCTAGCTGCTCCTTTCCTGATTCATGGAAAGTGGAAAACGTAATAGGAATCCTGAAACCGGGGAAATTGCGCAACTTAGTCTCTAGTTAGAGACCCATTAGTCTCCTCATATTGAATCGATTTCGTAAATACGTCTTCACCAACAAACTTTTTCCAGACGAGCAGTTCAGCTTTAGATCCGAACACTCTTGTACCGACCAATTACATTACCTCACAGAATGCATTCTGAAAGGATTCAACCTCCCAAAAAGAAGTAACAAAACCATCATAACCGACATAACACTTTGCTTTACAAGCTGTATAAACTCAACGTGCCAGATAGGCTCACCCAGATTATCAGAGCTTATCTTGCCAAACGCCACATTTTACGCGATCGAAATCCGTCAAGATTAATTAGGTTGATTGCCCAATTTTTGCTTTAAGAGGTGTAAATATTAAAACGAACTCCTTGAATTTACAACGTTAAATTTTAATGGAAAAAATAGACAATTATTCCGCAAACACAAAATAAAAAACGGCAGCGTATTATAGATATCGCGTCTTTATTTCTATAGTTACTTTATAAAATATCTAGCTGTTTCTATGTGTTAGTTATGTGTTATTATTAAAAATGCAACCACAGATTACTTGATGAGATATGGCTTAACCACCTCACCCCTCCTCAAATCTCATGTGAGATTTTTTTAAATGCGTATTTTAATGTAAATACGTTAATCTGTGCTTGATGGCATTGGGTTTATTTAAAAACAAAACATAATTTGCTTAATTATTTTTATATAATTTGTGGATTTCGCATATTCGCGATAGTATATTACTTTGTAGGACTTAGCCATATCATACTTAATTTAACCCAATTTTTTCGAAATTAAACATCGTATTTTACGTAAAAAAGTTACATGATATTTGCTGAGACCCTCCCTCTGCCCCACGTGAGATTTGGCGAAATTCGACTCGAGCCCTCCCCTCACGTGGATGCTGTGACCCATGGACAATCGACTTTTATCCTCAATTAAGAATCAGAATGCAGATGCGTTGTCACCCCTGAGGACTAAAGGGAATACCTCGGTTCCAGTAGAAAGGGTCTCCTGTTCTCTACACTGCTATTTAAAATACAGTAGCATTAAGCTGATATTTTACGCTGGTATTCCGTGAGAGCGTGGTTCTACCCCGTTGGCGTGGGCCGACCCATTCTTGCTACAATCTTAATATAGCTACTGCGAGGTTCTACCATGTATAAAAATTCTTTTGGTAGGAATTACCCCATGGCTAGAACTTACCAATACAGTCGAAAGCTACCGATTGCTCAGAAGGTATAATACTATCACAACACATGTGATGTGATACTATTATCTTAATGTATGATTAAAACATTACATCGGGCACAACAACAAATTTTTGCCAGATTGTAACTCTTGTGCAGTAAATTGGGATAGTCTAATTACAGTGTTTTAAATACGAAAAAAAAACGTAATGAATAAACGAACGGTTTGTATGTAATTATTCCGAAAACTAGGCAATGGGGTTTTCATGCTAAACTTGTACCGGAAGCAAATATATGTGTTTTAATTAATCTTGCAACTTACTTTCCTTTGTTAGGTTTTCAATATTCAGCGGCGGCGATTTTGTGTAGGTGTAACTCTAACAGAAGCTTTGTTGGAAATGAAATTTTGAATAGCACTTTAATTCAAAATTTACATTAATTCTTTTACGTGGTGGAGCCATGCTGCAGCTATATTAATTGTATAGTTGTAGTACGAATGGGTCCGCTCGACCGGGGAAGGACCACGCTCTCACAGAATACTAGCGTAAAATAGCAGCTTAATTCTGCTGTGTTTCGTATGGTGAGTGTAGAGAACCGGAGACCCTTTTTACTGGCAAAGAGGCATTCCATCTTAGTCCTCACAGGTGACAACGCATCTGCATCTTGAGTCTTTATTGAGGATAGATGTAGATGTCTATGGGTCACAGTAACCACTTACCATCAGGTGGACTGTGTGCTCGTTTGTCACACGATCCTATAAAAAAAAAAGAGAACCGGAGACCCATTTTACTGGAAACGAGGCATTCTATCTTAGTCCTCACGGCTGACAATGCATCTGCATTTTAATTCGCAAACGAAGATAGATGTAGATGTCTATGGGCCTTTTAAAAGTTTTTAAGCTAAGTGTTGTGACTACTTACTAGTAAACACAGAATGCACTATAACAATAACTAAATTAGGTTTTAATTTTATTACCTGAAGTTAACAATTTTTAAAGAATAGAACGTGGTTTATCCGTATCGTAATAGAATACACAAGTTGGTTGCACGTAATTATTTATATAATATATAGTATAGTTGGTATAGTATAATACATCTTTAAAATATTAATTAGATATTTTTGTTATTATTTAATCTTATTTCACCTGAATATTACGAGTATTTCAGAATATACACAACGTGCTCCTTACTAGGTATGTGAAATTTATCAGTAAATTTATGTGAAGAATTTTAAAAGAATATTTTAAATTGTGTTCTTCACTAATGTTACAATAAAGAAGTCGATGTACGTGTTTTGCTTGGGACCGTACTTTGTGTCAATTTGTGGATGCGATCATGTTCGGCAGTGGACTAGTGATTGTTTGTAAGACCATAATTTATTTTATTATAATATAGGTCTAATTTCACATTCGGTTCGTTAATTAAAATCAAAGATGAACGTTTTAAATTGCTTATATTTTATAAATAAAAAGATGTATTGTATTAACTTAAAGACGTATCTTTAAATTTAATAATGAACATATATAAATAATTGTAAATCAGGCTTAATATTAATGAAAATTGGTGATGAAACGAGAATACACGATGTTTTATTATGATTTCAAAATAGTATCTAAACATACAAGAAAATATATTTCGAAAGTTTAGGTGGTGTGTTTTAATGGATTATTCACAGCTGGTATTGCACATTCCGCAGTAGGTGTGGCGGAGCATTCACCCATATTACAGAACGGAAGAGTTGGGTCAGTGCATGCTCGTTGGAGACCACCAAATTTTGTGCAGAGCTGCTTTGTGTTGCAATCCAAGCATGTGCTTCCAATGGCTGCGCACGGTGTCCACTGAAGATACCAAGGCGCGGCCACCACGAACGGAGGTATCCACGGGTTGACCGCAGCACCACCCCAACCCCATCCACCGTCACCCCAACCCCATCCATCGTCACCCCAACCCCATCCATCGTTGGTCGGTTGTGCAGGAAGGGCTAATGCCACTGTCATCTGAAAGATAACAGAGAATTTAGATTTATAAGGTTTTCTAAGACAATTTTTCTAATGTTATGTTTTATTCATTAACTGTGTTTAAAAGACGACGAGGTTCTATCTTCGACGTGTATGTTCCGACGTTCCTTATTTATGTTCACCGATTTCTCGGGAACGGCTTAACAAATTTAAATGATTCATGTTAAGGGGTCATTGTAGAAGCGTGCTCGTCGCGACCCCTGCCAGCCCTTTTCAGGGCTGCAATTCTACTCAGCTGCGCACCCATGCCAACGAGGGTTAGGGCGTCCCCCCAAGGCGACGCACACCAGCTTGTCCCCGTTGGTGTGAAATGCAGCGCGCAAAGCGGCGATGGGGACCGCCACCCGTCACGCACAGCCCGACACGGCGAAAGGTGGAGGACAGAGTGCAGAGTTGGCACGTGGAATGTTAGAGGAGGCATGAGAGATAAGACGAATAAGTTGATCGAAATAATGAAAGAAAGAGAATTAGATGTCGTGTGTATGTAGGAGACCAAACGGAAGGGCAGTGGTACTGAAGAGCTCCCTGACGGGGCGTTTGCTCTATGGTCCGGAGTCCCGGAGAGCGAGAACGCCTGCCAGGGAGTGGGGGTGCTGCTGTGTTCTCGGTTGGTCGATGTTATGGCTGAATATATGTTTGTGAACTCAAGACTTCTCTGGGTTCGCTTTAAATTGGGATTGACGAAGTTATTCCTATTGGCTGTTTATGCGCCGGTAGCTTCGTCGTCCAGGGCTGAGCTGGAGGAGTTTTGGGAGAATGTAAGAGAAGTTCTAGATTTGGCTAGGGGAAACGAAAGAATTGTTGTATGTGGTGATTTGAATGGATGGGTTGGTACCGCTCGACCAGGGTACGAGTCGGTACTTGGAAAGTTTGGCGATAAAAGGGTTAATGATGCTGGCAAGCTTATACTGGCGGTGTGCAAGGAAAAGGGTCTTCTTGTGACAAACACTATGTTTAATCACAAGAAAATCCATATGTATACTAGAGAAAGAAAGAATGAGAGAAGTATGATCGATTTGTTCCTGGTGGATGACCAACTGCGAAAACAGGTTATGGATACGCGAGTGTTCAGGGGTGATGACCTGGGAACGAATCACTATCTAGTGATTACTAGATTTAGGGGTCTGTTCGCGGGTTGGCGCTACCGGACGGCAGTGACAGAACCACAGTCGGTCTGTTGCATCCGAAGCTGGAAACTTCAGGAAGCGGATACTAGGGACAAATATCATGCGAGGGTAGCCGAAAAGCTTGGCACCATCGATGGCAGAAACGAATGTGTAGAAAGAACATGGCAGAACCTTAGGGATGGAATGGTAAGTGCAGCGGAAGAAGTGTGTGGAACAATAAAAAGAGACAGTAGTAGAAGAAGAGATGCATGGTGGAATGATGAAGTGAAAGAAGCTGTAAAGAAGAAGAAGAAAGCATGGTTAGACTACTTGGCCTCTAGTAATGATAAGGATATGAGAGAGAAGATGAAAGAAAGATATAGGCTGCAGAAAGTTCACACGAAAGCATTGATTGAGGAAGTGCGTGAAAGGTGTAGAATGGAAGCGGACGAAAGGTTGTCGCACAACTTTAAGGAGAACTCCAAACTCTTCTGGAAAGAGGTTGGAAGGACCCGAAGTGGTGCGAAGGCCTTAAGAATGAACAAAGTGCTTTCGAGAACTAATGACGTCCTCTCAGAAAAATCGGACGTCATGCATCGATGGAGCGAATTTTATAGAGAAATGTATGTGTGTGATGATCTTAGTGAGGGATCCGGGGATGACGCCGTGACTGGTACGCCAGACCCGGACCTCGATGACACTGAGGTCATCAGTATGAAAGAGATTGAACGTGCGATTCGAAGTTTGAAATGTGGTAAGGCTGCGGGACTAGACAGAGTTACTGCTGAAATTGTCAAGTATGGTGGGCCTCGCGTCTGGGACAGCTTTCATCTGCTGTGCAATTTGTGCTGGCGGACGGGGGATGTCCCGGATGATTGGCGATCCGCAGTCATTGTGCCTTTATATAAAGATAAAGGTTCACATTTTGACTGCGGGTGCTATCGGGCGATCAGCTTGACCAGTTTAGCAAGTAAAGTTTACTCGAAGGTTTTGACACGTAGGATGCAAGAGAAATCGGAAAGATTTCTATCGGAGGCACAATGCGGATTTAGACCTGGAAGAGGATGCACGGATCAAATCTTTTCTCTCCGCATGATCACGGAAAAGCTTCTGGCTGCTAACCAGAAGATTTTCTGTGCTTTTGTGGATCTTGAGAAAGCATTTGATAAGGTTGTAAGTAAGAAAATGTGGGAACTGTTGCCGGGGTATGGTGTGGATGGTCGATTGCTAAGGGCTGTGCAGTCTCTTTACTGTGACTGTAAAGCCTGTGTGCGGGTAGGGCATGACCTGTCACCCATGTTTAGCGTCCAAACGGGCGTAAAACAGGGTTGTGTCATGTCTTCCTGGCTGTTCATACTGTATCTCGACAGCTGTTTACAAAAGCTGAAAGATAGCTGTATGGGTGTGAAATTGGGTGACATAAAAGTAAATTGTCTGCTGTATGCTGATGATGCAGTGCTTATTGCACCATCAGAGGCAGAACTGCAGGAATTAGTCACGTGTATGAAAGAGGAATGTGAAATTAAAGGTCTCCGTTTGAATGCTAATAAAACTAAGGTTCTGGTATTTGAAAGGGACGAAGAGAGAACGAAGTGTGAAATATGGGTAAATCAAGAATGTCTAGAACAGGTAAATGAAATTGTATACTTGGGGAGTGCTTTTAGCCGGGATGGAAGATGTGATTTAGATGTGGACAGGCGTGTCGCTGCCGGGAACAAAGTCAATGGTGCCCTGACTGCGTTAGTCAAAAGGCAAGGCGTAGCGAAGAGTGCACGCCTTGCAATACATAACGCAGTGTTGGTACCGACTTTGTTATATGGCAGCGAAACCTGGGTATGCCAGAAGAAGCATAAAAGTAAGTTGAATGCAGTGGAGATGCGATCTCTTCGTAAAATATGCGGCGTTACTATGGACGACCGAAAGCGAAACGAAGAGATTCGCAATATGGCAGGTTTGAAAGATGACCTTATCACAAAAATTGATAAGGGCGTGCTTCGGTGGTTTGGGCACGTTGAGCGAATGAGTGAAGACCGAATGGCGAAGAAAATATATAGCGCGAAAGTTAATATTAAAAGGTGTCGAGGTAGACCGAGACTAACTTTCGTAGACCATGTGAGCAAATTGCTCGAAGAGGGTAGGGTCAAGAGTACTCGGATACCTAGACGTGCATGTATGAAGAAGATAATGAATCTGAAAGAAGCGAAAGAGGTATGTAAGGATCGTGACACTTGGCGATCTGTTCTCTCTGGCTACCCCGTCAGGGATTGTGCGTGAAGATAAGTAAGTAAGTATGTAACTATTTAGACGAAATTCTAGTTGTAAAAATAAAATACCTGAATTAAAATCGGATTTCAAAAACTGAAAAGAATAAAATAATTCCACATATTAGTTTTTGAAGTAGGGGCTTTATTTCTTTGATGCACAATGACTTCAGAAGGTATTGTACGGACAGTTAGTTTTTAAAGACAGTTTTTACTTTTTTTTAATTAATAGTAACAAACATTTTATACAATAATATTATATGCAAATTAAAATTAAAAATTTTATACGAAATATCGTTTTTACTTACCATAACAGTTAACACGATTGCGGTTTTCATAGCCATGTCTAAACTTTAATTTTTTGTATTCAAATTGTGAATATTAATTTGATTGTATTATGCTTCAAGTGTTAATGAATGATTCGTTGTTTCATTTCGTCTTTTTTTCGTTTCGTTGTTGTCTTATATACAGGCCTTTGTTAACTTAAGACTTAATGTTAAGGACGCAAATAGATACTGCTGGATTCCCCAATGGAAAGTATGCAAAGTAGATAAAAATGATAATAATTTGGAAATAATATTTGCTTTTCCGTAACGACAAACGTAAGAAGAATAAATGAGTACGTTAGTAACAGTGTTTTCTAATTCATTATTATCATCATTATCATCAGTCAGCAAAACTCCAATACTGACAGGATACATTGTAGTGTACACAATAAGCTGAATAACAGACGACATTGAAGGGAGGATTTGCTTTAATTTTCACGCTTGGCAAATGGATTGACAATCGCAGTACCAGACGTGTCCTTGACGTTGTTTCCATTGCCGGAAACAATGTCAAGGAGCATTAGGTGAATACACTCAATTCACCTAATGCTATGGTGCTGTGGGCCTCTAAATCTTTCCTCGTTTAGGAACCAAAATGCATAGCGTTATGACCCCTAAGGACGAATATGGAATGCCCCGGTTTCAGTAAAAAGAGTAACCGGTTTTCTACACTCACCGAACGAAACATAGCAGCATTGAGCTGTTATTTTAAGTTGATATTCTGTGAAAGCTTGGTCCTTCCCCGATCAAGCCGACTCATTCGTGATACGACGTGTCTACCAAGCAAAAAAGTATGACAGCGCGTCGAGAAAACCGGCTCCAAAGCACCACTAGCTTCCACAGTCCAATCTTGTCTATGGCCAATCAATCAATCAAAAGGCTACGGAGCAATCCTATATCAAAAAGAAAACAATGTTCCTTGCGTAATTGCCTATTTGAATCGTCGAACTACTGGTGTGAGCTGTTGAGAATTTTCGCCATTATCTTTACGTCCAACACTTCGTTGTCTACACGGACCGTGATTCCTTAAAATAATGCAATACCAAGGTCCATTTATCTCCGCGTGTCCACCGATGGTGGGCCTTTCTCCAAGCAAACGATTTCGACATCGTTTACAAAGAGCGTCGTTATATGGCATACTGATTTTCTTTCGAGGAATATATTGCCGCCTTCTAGGTATTCAACACGCGGCGATAATGTAACTGTATTCACACCAGTAGATATTCGTAAGACCATAAATTTTGGAGATCTTTACAACAGCTGGCTTGAAATAGAAGACTTTATAAGAAAACGTGATAAAAACGACTTGCCCGAAGTGATCGCTAGCACATACCGTGTTCGTGTTGGCGTACTTTACCGAAAAATAGCACGAAATAAGGAAGTTAGTTGGTTACCAATTGTTCATCGATCATTAATTTGGACACTTATTAGTCATGTTCACAATAAAATCAAGCATCTAGGCTCTGAGAAAACTCTTAATAAACTATACGAACAATACTGGTAAGGCGTACGTAAACTTATTGATTCATACATTGTCTGTAAAGCTGCCAAAGGGCCTTTCGGAGCTAAGCAGATCAGATTACACCCCATTCCCAAAGTTGCCGTTCCCTGGAACATCATCCATATATACCTTACGGGTAAGTTAAGCGGTAAGAGCAGCAGAAAGGAATCATCATCATTACAGCATTTCATAAGTCCACTGCTGAATATAGGCCTCCCCCAAGGAATACCATAAAGCACGGTCCTGAGCCACCTGCATCCATCGACTTCCTGCATGTCTTACCAGGTCGTCACTCCATCTCATGGGGGGTCGCCCTACACTTCGCCTACCGGTACGAGACTGCCACTCAAGAACCTTTCTTCCCCATCGATTGTCGGTTCTTCGAGCTATATGGCCGGCCCACTGCCACTTCAGATTACTAATCCGTTGGGCTATGTCGGTTACTCTGGTTCTACTGCGGATATCCTCATTCCTAAGTTTATCACGCAGAGAAACTCCGAGCATAGCCCTCTCCATAGCTCGCTGAGCGACCTTGAGCTTCCTCATACGGCCAGCAGTGAAGGACCAAGTCTCAGATCCGTAAGTCATCACTGGCAACACGCACTGGTTGTACAATTTCGTTTTAAGGTTTTGAGGAATGTCTGACGAGAAGATGTGTCGTAGTTTCCCGAACGCTGCCCAGCCGAGTTGAATCCATCGATTGACCTCTCGGTCGAAGTTGGACTTACCTAGTCGGACTATTTGTCCCAGGTAAATATACTCGTCAACAACTTCGAGCTTAGTGCTCCCAACAACTACCGGCATAGGTGTGACATGGACATTAAACATAATCTTCGTTTGGTCCATGTTCATCTTAAGACCTATCCGTTGGGAGACACTATTGAGGACATTGATCGTAGTGCTTAGGTCCTCCAGCGATACTGCCATAAGGACTATATCGTCGGCAAATCGAAGGTGAGTGATGTACTCGCCATTGATGTTAATACCGTATCCTTTTCAGTCCAGAAACTTGAAAACGTCTTCCAATGCAGCGGTGAAGAGTTTCGGGGATATACCGTCACCCTGTCTTACACCTCTCTGCAATTAGATAGGTTTTGCACTCTGGTTCTGTACTCGGATAGCCATCGTAGCCCTACTGTACAAGCACTTCAACACTTCGATATACCGACAGTCAACTTGGCACCGCTGAAGGGACTGCAGCACCGACCAAATTTCGACGGAATGAAAGGCTTTCTCATAGTCCACATACGCCAGGCATAGTGGCAAATTGTACTCCTCGGACTTCTGTACAACTTGCCGAAGGGTATGTATGTGGTCTATAGTGCTAAAGCCCTTTCGGAAACCGGCTTTTTCGGGAGGCTGGAAGTCGTCAAGTCTGCGTGCGAGACGATTCGTAATGACTCTCGAAAACAGCACGTAGACGCAACTCAGAAGGGAAATCGGTCTGTAGTTCTCTAGTTCAAGAGAGCGTTGTCACCTTTCTTGAAGAACAAGACCACCGCACTTTTGCTCCACGCCTCCGGTGTAATGCCACCATGGAGGACGGAATTAAAGAGCCTCTGAAGGACTTCCAGTACCGGTTTTCCACCCGCTTTCAGAAGCTTCGCTATAATTCCATCCTCGCTTGGGGCCTTGCCGTTTTTAAGATGATGGAGAGCCATTCTAATCTCGCTCAGACTGACGTCCGGGATATCTTCGGAATAGTGTCGGATAAGACTCGCTCTTGGATCGTTATTTACACTTGCGTGTGGCTCCAACGATGACGTGTACAGCTGTCTATAGAACCTCTCAATCTCACTCAAAATCTCAGGTGCCCCGGACACGATGCTGCCACACTCGGTCTTCAGCTTTGACAGTTGTCTCTTTCTGGCAGACAGATCTCTGGCAAAGACTTTGGAGCCTTGGTTCCGCTCGATCGCTTCTTCAATACAAGCTGTATTGAAGTTGCGTAAGTCCCGCCGCATGCATTTGGAGTTCTGTCTGTTCAGTTGCCTGTATGCTGTCAAATCTGTTGAAGAATGTAGCTTCATCTCCCGTCTAACAGCCATGAGATTAAGAGTGTGATCGGAGAGTTTTTGTGTTCTTCTGCGGCGGGTCTTGCAGAACTTAGCTCCGACCGCATGGACGGTTTCCACGAGCTTGTCATTCATATCGTCCACTTCATTGCAGTCTTCTAGGCACTGAAAACGGTTTTGTAACTCGAGCTTAAAGGTTTCGGGACTTTGAAACAGAGCACGAGGGGGACGGAGCGTTGACGTCATTAGACGAGACCTCTCCAACTTAACGTTTAGGTTCAGTGTGCCTCTAACCATTCGGTGATCGCTATCAGTTTTCACCCTCGCGATCACGGAGACATCACTGAACAGTTGTCGTCTGGTCGTCATAATGAAGTCAATCTCATTTTTTGTGGAACCATCGGGGCTCGACCAGGTCCACTTCCTGTGGGGCCGCTTCTGGAAGAAAGAGTTCATCATAAAGAGTCCCTCTTTCTCCATGAAGTCAGCCAGCTGCTGGCCCCTTGGGTTCCGTTGCCCTATTCCAAATTTCCCTACTTTCAGCTCACCATTCTCTCTTGTGCCTAGTTTTGCGTTGAAGTCTCCCATTAATACCGTATATTGGGCTTTGGAGGAATGCATGGCTCTAGAGATATCCTCATACATTTCCTCCACCTCCTCATCGGGGTGTGCCGAGGTTGGTGCGTAAACCTGTATGACCTTCAGCGAATACCGTTTGATGATTCTGAGTATAAGGTACGCAACCCTCGTCGACACACTCCCGATCTTTAAAACGTTGTTAACGAGAGACTTGTGGACGATAAATCCGATACCTTCTAGGGACAGTTGGTTGCCCTCCCGGTAATAGAGCAAGTTGCCGGATTCGAGGAATACCGTTTCCTCCCCCTCTCTTCGGACTTCGGATAATCCTATAATATGCCAGCGTAACTTGTCTATCTCTTCTTCTAGCTCCACGATCTTCTCGTCAGTCCTCAGGGTGCGTGCGTTGTATGTTGCCAGGTTGAGTCGTTGTAGGTGGCAACCGAACCTCCACCGGAGATTCTTAGCACCCCCTGTCCCGCCGTTACAATGGTCGCCACCGTAGGTAGGAATAGTGGGGCTGCCGGGGACTGGGGGCCGTCTCTTAATAACTTTATCCATTTGGGGGGTATTTGCCATAGTTGCCACGCTTGGCGAGCGGGTTGGTAACCGCAGTTTTTTTATTGTATTTTTGCTGTTATCAGGAAGATGCTGCTGCCCATCTCCTGCCTGTTTCCCTTTGTCGCCTTTTACGACACCCACGGGGTGATATGGGGTAGTGGATATTCTTAACCGCCACTACACGGTATAGACATGAGACCATTATGATAGGAAAATATCCTAATTTCTAGGGTCGCCGTCATCGAAATCGATGAGGAGGACTATTTAATGCTGCGTCTCCATCAAAGAAAAGTTACCAACTTTTGTGTTGTGAACACGTGTTGGTGACAAATGTTTCTGTAATTACCTAGTGTTGGCAACAA